CAATTATATGACAACAACCATGATTAAGTAATTAATAATAATAAAGCAATAAATTTAAAAATTAGATTAAAAATAAAGTATTATAAAATAAAATTGTAATAATTTGATTAAAATTGTAATTTTTTAATTAATTAAGTTAATGAGGAATTAAAATGTGATAATTTGATGTGTTTAATTTTTTTAATATAAATTTTTAAAATTTAATTTAATTTCAATTGAAATTTTCAATTGAAAAATAAATTAAAGAATATTTGTTATTAAACTTTTCTTAAACAATGTATTGAATAGTTAATATCACTCTAGTCTTAATTTATTACAATTTAAATTTTTAATAAATTTGATTTATTTTTAATAATATTTTTATTTTAGTAATTTAAAATTAAAGTTAATCTTCATTTTGTTAATATTGAGACCAAAGTTTATTTTTAAAGTATATTTTAAAAATTAAATTATTTTTAAAAAATAAATTACTTTTAAAAAATAAATTGTAAAAAATATACTAAAACAATTAAATTATATTTATAAAAAAATAAATTTAAATATAATAAAAAAATAATATTCATTAGCGATCGCTTTCAATTCGGTCGCTATTTTCTTATTAGCGACCGATTTTAATTCGGTCACTATTTTAATTTGTGATTCGGTCGCTAAATCAGTCGCTAAATGATTTTTTTATTTTAGTATGTAATAACACCGAAATTTTACGACGCAAACTATTGGTCGCTATTTCGGTCGCTAAATAAAAAAGTGAAACCAAATCATATTTTGGTGGCTAAATCGGTCGCTAAATTGCGACTGAATTAACTCGATCGCTAAATCGATCGCTAATTGCGACCGAATTAAAGTGGTCGCTAAATTGGTTGCTAATTGCGACCGAATTAAATCGGTCGCTAATTGTGACCAAAATTAAATCGGTCGCTAGTTGCGACCGAAAAAATTCGGTCACTAATTTCGGTGACTAAATGTGTTTTTTCTTGTAGTGTATATAACTATTATAAGTAAAAAAAAAATCAATTAAAAGAAAAATAAAATCAGAGCCGAAGCTATAATATCAATTGATCCGAACATGATAAGATTAAATAGTAATAAATTCTGAGGTTGATTATCTTGATAAGATTAAATATGAATTCATATAACTTAGAATACTATATAAAATTCTTTTTAATATAAAGAAAAAATAAATCAATTTTTTTATTAGATTAAAATTAACCTATTTATAAATTAAATATTTGTAATTATAGACTACAATAATAATTCTTAATAAACATATAATTAATTTTCATAAAAAAAATAATTCTCATTATAAATATTATTATATTTATAATATTTCAAGCCATTTAATTTAAAAAAATTTATAATAATTTAAAATTTTATTAACCCTTCAAATCATTTCACGTGATCTTACTTCACAACACTTTCTTGTTTCTTTGTTGAACTATAACTTTACTTCTGATTCCTTTTTCGATTTTTATTTCCGAAAAAAATATTCAACCAAGCCATCGTTTTGGTAAAAAACTTATTTCAGAATTAAAAATAAATATTGGTTGAATAGTTTTTACGTGAAGGGAGTAAATTCCCAAAAATTTAAGGTTATTTTTGTTGCATCTTTCATAAAGTTATTATAGACACCCTTCTTTTAATTTAAGTTTAAACTAAACATTATGCATATATGTTAATTTTTTTCCATACCTCATCTTTAATAATAACCAATTATAAATGTTATTTAAATGTTTTATAAATATTTAAATATATAATTTAAAAAAAAAAACACAAATCAATTTATTCGGCCGCTCTCAATTTTATGATAAGGGACTTAGCGGAAGGAATAAAAAGCACATGAAAAATTAAAATTAGAACCTACTCTGTCAATTTTAAAATGGTCCGACACCAGAGCTAACCAATGTTGGTAGGAAAAAGGCTAGTTTTTTATGTTAATAATGACAATGTGATTAAATGCGTATTGATTGAGGTTGGTTAATTAGTTGAATTTGTCCCATTGGTTAAAAGCTAACTCCATGCCCAATAATTAAATGCTCAAAACCAAGATTCAAAGAGTTGTGCAATTGGTTCGGACTAATAAATTCAATTTAATAATTAAATCTACTTCTCTCAATTTTTATTTTTTAAGGTGTTTTTTCATAATTAAGAAATATAATAAATTTTTTATTCTAATAACACAAATATATTAAACACAAATTCTTGTATAAGGATTTTAAGAATTTTGTGTCCAACTCCTCATTGTCAAAACTCTTTCCTAATGCTTTCAAGTGATTTACTATATGTGTCAAGTGTGTCTGAAAATCCGTGATGCTTTTATTTTGTTGCATTTGAAATAATTCATACTCCTGGATGAGTGTGTTCTTGCATGCTCACTTTACTTCATTTGTTCCTTTATGTGTTACTTCAAGAGTGTCCCATATTTCTTTTGTCGTCTTGCATTGTGAGACCCTAAAAAATTTATTACGAGTTAAGACAGAAACAATAGCATTTCGGGCTCTTACATCATAATGGGCACGCTTATTTTCATCCGGTGTCCATTGGTCAAAAGTCGTTGGAACAACTCCAGATTTCATTGTTCTCATCAGAATGTAGGGGCCATTGAATACAACATCCCAAACACCATAATCTAGTGTTTGTAAAAATATTTTCATTCTTGCTTTCCAAAATTGATAGTCTTCTCCTTCAAATAATGATGGTCTGTTTATTGAGGCTCCTTTCTTGTAAACCTGATTCTGCATAGACATCTTGACAGATCGTTTAGAAATATCTTATCTAACCAAGCTCTGATACCACTTGTTAGACAAATGACATCTAGAGGGGGGTAAATAGATGCACAAATTAAAATAGATGTCAAATTAAAAATTTATTTGTGAGTCAATAATTTATTTGAACACAAATAAAGCAAAAACAATAATATAATCAGGAAAAGAGAAAGAGATAAGGGAAAAAGAAGAACACACAGAGATTTATACTGGTTCGGGTATAGTCAACCCTACATCCAGTTCCCAGTCAACTCTTAACACAAGAGTGACTCCTAATTCATTATATTTCAAATTCAGTTTACAAATTACAATCAACTCAGCAGAAGAATCATTAAAAAGTAAACTAATTAAAAAAAGAATCACCTCCTTAGAAACCCACTAAAGATGAACACCTCCCTAGAATCCCACTAGGGATGAACACCTCCTCTGAACAAATCAAAGGATGAAAAAAAAAACATCTCCCTAGAATCCCACTAAGGATGAACACCTCCCTAGAATCACACTAGGGATAAAAACCTCCTTTTAACAAATCAAAGCATGAAAACACCTCCTTAGAATCTCACTAAGGATGAACATCTCCCTAGAATCACACTAGGGATGAAAAGCACATCATTTGCCACCAATACACAAAGGATGAAGGTAATAAAAATAAGAACAGTCACACCTGGATAATGGAGACAACAAATTGTAGAAGTCTGTAGAATGCCAATATCCAAGAACAAGTGTGATTAACAATGAAAGTACAAAAGACAATAGAGAAGAGGATTTTCTCAGAAGGTGTAAAATATCTCTATTGCCTTGCTCAGAATTCTTTTCTCAAAACTGATTGAATGTAAATTGTATTTTCGAATTCTGTAATTATGTGTCTTTGATTTTTCATCAAAACTTAATTAAATAGAAAAATAACATCAGAAAATGGTCGTTGGATATTAATATTTTCGTGAATAAAAATCAAGATATATTAAAAAACATTTATTCTTCAAAACAAATATATTTTTCAAATTTGAATTGCCATAATTGATTATATTACCAGTATAATCAATTATGACAGAGAAAATCATTTTTCCATTTTTGATGCATCATAATTGATTATGATAGTGAAAAATATCATGTTATGAATTTTATCACACTTGTGCTTTAAAGGCTTATGCATAATATTACTTCATCAACTTGTACCTCCATATCCAGTATTCTAAGACTCTATCTAGTCTTCAGGAATCATCTTGGGCTTGCTTAAATCATCATCTTTATCAAAAACATATCTTGGGCATGTAGGGAAATGTTTCACATTGTCACCAACGTCTTAAATTCAGTTTGTCCTTAATTCATCTTGAATGGTGTTGACTTGAATGTAGTTGACTTGAATCATCATCAAAATCATTTCTTGGGAATGTAAGGACATTTCCATCAATCTCCCCATCATTGCTTTCAACTTATTGTTAAGTTGAGTTAGATTTATGTTTAATTGGATTGTCGAATAGACATTTGAATGGATTGGATGTTATACATTTTATAGGTTATATGAGAAGAGACAAAAATATAATAGCTCGAGGTAGTTTTATCAGCGGATTTATCGATGGATAATCCATCGATAAATACTTGGAGACTATTACTAATAATTACAGACGGATATATCCATTAATAAATCTTTTGAAAAGAGACCGCTATCAGACTTTACCTACATAAATATTTATCCGCAATTACCCATGACATTTCTCACGAAAGTATTCGTTGGTAATTAGTGATGGACTAAAAAAATCTATCCGTAATACCCACAATAAAATTTTTGACAAATTTTTATCCATTGATAATTTTTGTTAAGTAACTGCATATTTTGTCCTTACAAAAATTCATGTAGTGTGCGTTTGATTTGGATTAGGATTGATTTTCACTTAAATTATGTATATTTGGAGTTAATAGCATCCACGTAAGATTGAATTAATTAATATTTGTGAGCACAGTACGTTCAATATTTTATCACGGAGTTCAAATACACGCCTTAAAAACATGAAATATATAATATAATTTAATTTACGGACAGATAAGAACTAGGCATAGTTTATGACACACATGAATCACGGAGTAAACATGTTAGTTGAATGGTTTTACATAATAAACTTGTGTTCTTATATTGCCACTAAGATGTTTGGCTTATAAATACACCAAATCTTATTTCAGGTTTCATCGAAGTGAAACAACGTATCCATCCACCTATAGAAAGTTAAGGAAGAAGATTTTATGGAGTGCCAAAGTGAAGAGCGTGCCTCAAAACTACTTGGAGCTCAAACCCATGTTTGGAATCACATTATCAGCTTCGTAAATTCCATGTCCCTCAAATGTGCAATTGACTTGGACATTCCTGACATCATACACAAGTATGGTCAACCCATGCCACTCTCACAACTCACTGCTTCACTACCAATCCACCCTTCCAAAGCCAACTGCATCTTCCGCTTGATGCGAATTTTGACCCATTCTGGCTTCTTCTCTCAACAAAAGCTCAATGAGAATGAGCTTGAAATGGGTTATGTGTTGACTGATGCATCCACTCTACTACTTAAGGACAACCCCTTGAGTATGATACCTTTCTTGCATGCCATGCTTGATCCAATTTTGACAAAGCCATGGCATCACTTGCCTACATGGTTCAAGAATGATGATCCTACGCCATTCCACACAGCACATGAGATGAAAATTTGGGACTTGGCTGGCCGTGATCCAAAACTTAATCTCCTTTTCAATGATGCCATGGCGAGTGACGCTCAACTGGTTGCCAATGTGGTGATTGAGAGGTGTGAGGGAGTGTTCAATGGCTTGGAGTCACTTGTTGACGTTGGGGGAGGCACAGGTACCATGGCAAAGGCAATTGCCAAATCATTCCCTCACTTAGATTGTACGGTATATGATCTCCCACATGTTGTTTCCGGCTTACAAGAAGCTGATAACTTAAAATATGTTGGAGGTGACATGTTTGAGTCCATTCCTCCTGCAGATGCCGTGCTGTTGAAGGTAAATATAATAGTTTTCATGAACTGATTAGAGTTTGAATTAGCAGTTATGAAATTGGTCTCTGATTCATTTCATTTATGCATGCGATGCAGTGGACATTACATGTCTGGAATGATGAGCAGTGTGTGAGAATACTGAAGAACTGCAAGAAGGGACTAAAGAGGAAGGTGATTGTGATCGACATGGTGGTGGACATTGAAAAGGGAGATGATGAATCAATTGAAACACAGCTCTTTGTTGATATGGTTATGATGGTGTGGCATCCTGGAAAAGAGAGGACTGAGAAAGAATGGGCTAAGCTCATTTTCTCTGCTGGTTTCAGTGACTACAAGATAACTCCAGTGTTGGGATTAAGGTCTCTCATCGAGATTTATCCGTAACAGTTAACTTCTTATGAAAATTGTGTCCTTTAAATATTATTATTATTATTATATATCAGATGGACCACCACTATGTTTCAATAAAGGGTCCTTCAATTATTATCTATTTTATTATGTCATGGAATGCAATCAATAAAATACATGGTTTCTGCCTCTGAGCATTGTATTGAATCAATTTATACCAAAATACATCTAATTTTTTGTTTTCTACGTCATGCTTTCTCGAGAACACTGTTTATCAACCCCCACGCATTTCATCTTCACCTAAATACTTCTAGTTATTTAATTAATTTATTTGTATTAATTTTTGCATCTAAGAAATTTTGTTACAACCTATTTTTATGATTTTTCTATAATAATATTTATATAAAATTCTCAATTTGTATATCCCCTCATCTTTATCTGAAAAATGAATTTATTATATTGTTTATGTTAAAATTACTTAAATAATTTATAAAAATAATTTATTAATTTGAGATAAAGAATCTTGTAAAGATAAAGTTTTATCACTATTATTAGAATATTTTTTAAATTTTTTTTATAGAAATTTGTAAGAAATAAGTTTCCTATAAATTTAAATAAATTTTTACAAAGTAATTTATAAGAAATAGCTAATTTTTTTATTAGTGTATTTACATTACAAATTTAACATTCAAATAAAATTATTTTAACAGTACTCCTTGTTTTATCGTTAAATTCTCTTAATACATTGGTTTTAAACCTCGGTGATCAAGTTATGAGCTTTAAGGGTTCATGCGAATAAATTTTATTCATTATACACGTTAATAGTAATGAGGTTTTTGTATGTAAATGATGATTTTAAATTTCAAAGAGAAGTGTTTTTTTTTCTTGAAAGTACCATACCACAGAATTAAAAGAGTATTGATATATTTTATTAAATATATTAAACTTAATATGAAATTTTGTGTAAATTTATTAGTAAGATATAATTGTTAAAAGACATTTTATTAAAACAAACATGTATTTTATTGTCTTGAGAGATGAACTTATTTTATTCAAATTTTTTAAAATTAGATCTAATGAGTTTGCAAAGATGCAGATAATTTATTAAATCCTCGTAATCATTTACCACAAACATAAAATTTGTTTATAAGTGGTAATATTGCAATTTTATGACAATTTATAAAATAAACCATAATAGCATTATTAAATCATACAAAACTTTTAGCAAAATCATCAACTTATGATTATGGTTTATATTTGAGAAAACTAACATCAATTATGAAGACATTCATTATCTTTGGTTAAAAAAAATATATATTAAAGAAGATAAAATAAAGCATAGTTCTTTTAAGAATTATGATATAGAAACATACATGTTTTTGTTTATGAAAATTTTGACACAACCACCTCCAAAATTTTTGTGAAGGATAATTTTTTAATTTAAAAGATTAGTCTTCGTTACATCAGTAATAATAATTTACATGGAAGAAAAATGAATATTTTGGAAAATGTATTAATCAATGATGTGTTATTTTTTGTTCAATAAATTTTTATGAGGCGGGATTTTTCTAATGAGGTTTTAATGAGGGATATTTTTCAATATTAGACATAGGAATGATTATTGATTATCAAATTGGTTGAAGAGATTAAAAAAATCAAATGAATTAAAGAAAAAATATGAAGGAGAAAAATATAAGAAAAAGATAATAATATAATAAACTGATTGGTAAAAAATAAAAAAGTGAAAAATAAATAAAAGAAAAGTAAATATTGTAAAATATAAAAAAATTATTTTATATAAAACGTAATAAAAAAATAAAATATTTTCAAAAAATTAATATTTTAGAACTTATATTTAAATATTAAATCACAATAGAGGTGAGAATTTTTTACTTATTTCCCGCCCTGTTCTCTCACTTTTTAAACTTTTTAAATTAGCAAAAACTTCAACTCTCATTTAATCAATTTGACTTTTCTCCATCAACCTCGGATGAGAACGATTGCTTGATTCCCATGAGCAACAGACAGTATACAGTAGAATTAATAGTTATATGCTTGAATTTAAACCAAGTGAAAATGAAACTACTTATAAAAGTCAAGCAAACAATTTATTGCATCCTTGTATGCTGATAATTTACTGGTCATTTACAATAATTTAAGTTCTCTGATAAAAAAGCATGACATAGAAAGTCAATTTGAAATGATTGATTTAGGTGAAATGAGTTATTTTCTTCGTATGAAGATAAAAAGGATCTTCATTTCAAAAAATATGCTTTGAAAATATTAAAAAAGTTTTACATCGAGAATTGTGAATCAGTAAACATACTGCATGTTGTAAATGAGAAATTATCGGTGATGATATCAGCAAAATTGATGTCTTGGTTTATAGAAGCTTAATTGAAAATTTTTTGTATCATCACATGACATAGTGTTTTGTTGTAAGTTTTGATGTTGGAAGTTTTGTTGTCCAGATTTATGAATTTTCCTAATCAAGTTCATTGTTATAGCAAAATAAGTATTAAGATATAAGAGGCACAACTATTAATGGATTATAATTTTTAGAAGATAAAAATGAATGGGTAGAAAGTTTAGATGATAGAGAACCTGAAGTTATGTTTACTTATTTGGTATGCTGTTTTCTCTTGAAATTCAAGAAAAACAAGAGGCGAGCATTCCCATGTTATAGCTCGCAAATATTTTAGATATAACTGCAAATCAAGTCATTTGACTTAGAAATTTTTTGAATGGTGTGGAACAACTACATATAAAGAAGTCTTAAAAATTAAGATTTTTTAGATATTTTAATATTATATATAATATTTTTGTGTATTACTTTTTTTATTATTTTATTAGGTTGAAATTAATAATAATCTTTTGGTTGTAAGAAGATGATAATACACATATCCTTGTTTATATACAACATATTTTGTATAAGGACTGACTTAGGATCTTTAGGGTTAGAATCTTCTAAAAAATTTAAGAAATTAGTGAGACGAGAGATTAGTAAGTGGTGAAAGTTTTAAGGTTGGATACTATTTTTAAAATGTCGATATATCAAGCTATAAAACTCCAATTGAGGTGATTAAAAAACGAGGTGAAAGTTCTCTTTATGAATTTCAATTTAGACTCAAGAAACACTCAATTTGAAAGAGTAGAACGAAAGTTATGACCACAAAATAAATATGGGCAGAATTAGGTTTTCTAGGTTCTGAAAGAATCACTCTTCCCAAAGGAGACAATTCAAAAAGGATATGAAAGTCTTTAATACCGCCAATGGTTCTTGAATCACTCAAGAACTTAGAAAAATCACTCTCACCAAGATAAAATAGGTAAACTCTAATATTTATGAATAAAATTCAATTTTTTTTATAAAAATGGTTCAATTGATATATAAATCCTAATAATAATCGATTAATCTAGGAATTGAAAACTACTTAATGGAGGTAAATAAATGTTAATAATGATCTATTAACCTAGAAATTGAAAACTACTTAATGGTTGATTGTAACTGAAATTATGGTAACCAAAAGTTCATCAATTATGTACCCTCTTGGCCTCCCAAAGGCTAATACCTAAGTTTCTAATTGAGCCTTTATTACAACTTGAAACAAAATCAAACTAAAGTCCATTAATTGATTAACCAAAAACATAATTTGGTCAGCCAATTTTACAAAGGATTGAGTCATTATTTAAACAAACTTAAAAACTGAAACAAAGTGAAGCATTAGTCTTCCTCCATTTGGGCCATGATGCAATTTACAACTTTGGTCTTTTCTCCTTGAAATGTGGGCTTGTATTCAAATAATATAGACAATACTTGTTGAAAAACTTCCTTTGTTTTCCTTACTCTAACACTTGTCATAGGTCATTTAAGTCCTTCAAGTGGATCTTTGCCCTTGCTCATAGTCATGTACTCATCATTTGTCTTAAACTGATTAGAACTTTAGAGAGTCTGATTTATTATATATTCTATAAAAGTTAGAGTTTTCCCCCAATAATATAGTGACATATATGTCTCAATCAATGAAGAACACATATCATTTTTTTTCTTAATAACCCCATTATAATAAAGTATATTGGGATAAATAGTTTGATTAATAATTTCATTAGTTTCTAAACTTTTTAGAATTAACAACTTTTATACTTCCCACCATTATCACTATGTAAAACCTAAATTTGAGCATTATATTGAGTTTTTCTCATTTCATGAAAATTTTTAAATAATAAATTTATATCACTTTTAGATTTTATTAAGTACAACCAAGTCATTTTTAATCAATCCTTAATAAAGTAATAAACTAACAATATTCATCTAGAGTTTGAATTTAGATAGACCCCATACATCAAATTGTATCACCATAAAAGGACAGAGTAGTTTTATTTAAAATTAATGGAAATGAAGTTTTACAACTCTTTCTTAGTTCATAAACATCAAATTGTTTTGACGAGATATAGATCATACAAGTTTTCTCTCCTAGTACTATAACTAATTGATTATTTTAGTTTAATGTCTCTAAAAACACAAAAATCATACCAAAAAATTATCATACAAGATAAATTAATTATTATTTGAAAACAAATAAAATATTAAAATTTAAAGAAAGAAAATTAAGACAAAATTAAGGTTTAAAATATTAATAAGATTTAAATATTTTTACCCAATAATTTCGGTTTGATTTTAGTAGCATCCAAATAACTAGTATCGTCCCGTGATCAACCTTATAGGTCAGACTTTGTAATGAGACACTTAATTATGAAATCCACGAAAATCTAGCTTAAAATCTCACTCCTTACTTAGAAATTCGCATAAGAAATAATGACTGAACATGGGGCATCACGAACGAAGTCCCTAATCCAATAGTAACAATAAATATTATGATTAAAGGGACAGGAAAGAAGTGAGAAAAAAAAATTGCTAGTTAAAGGGGAACTTTTGAGCAATAACAATTTTCATTTGTAGTAAAAATATTTTTTATAAATGGTTTAATTTGGTGACTTTCATGGATCAAATGCATGTGATTTATAATTTCAGTATT